CACACACACACACACACACACACACACACACACACACACACACACACACACACACACACACACACACACACACACACACACACCTATGGTCGCCCTCAGCTCCGTGCACAGGCTGATGTGTGGAAGGCGAAGCATGTCCTTCCATTTCCAGCTGCGGCCTTTGCTCTTACCACCTGCAGGCAGGAGATGAAGAGAAAATGAAAGTGTACAAACAAGGAAACAACCAAGGTGATCAAATATTGTGTCTGTGTTGGCGGTGTGCCATGAGCGTGCACAGATCACATGCACACCCAACCTTTCAGGTTTCTGTCAACAGATAAGCTCCACTACAGTGAAGGAACTAATAATAGCTGAAGGAAGAGGTGAGCCAAGCCGGTGTGACCACATTACTTTGAAATTTACTTTCATACTCTTGTCACTCACAGGAGCTATTTTAGTTTCCACAGTGCATAATCACATCCCGGCAAAACCAAACCACACTGAGCTTACGTCAGCAAGCGCTGAGCTTAGAGAGAAAACTTTGTACCAGCGGCAGAGGTTTTTATTAACATGTTCCCAAAGGATGCTTCTGATCAGTTCAAAGCCTGACTTGAACTGGTGACAACTTTTAATCTCTGAGAGGAATTGTGTAACAAAGGTGCCAACAAAAAATATATATTTATATATATAAAAATGCTTACTCCTGACCTGTACACAGATACAAATATGGTGTATTTTAATTGTATAACAACCAGTTACACAGCATTTATGCAGAAAACTCTTACCTTCTCTGGCCTTTAAAAGAGCACTGTTCTGCACCATGCTTTCAATATCCATGTGTGAAGGTTTACTCTGAGCTTTCCACGTCTGCCTCTAACTACAGGTTTAAGCTGCAGGTGTGCTGCTGGAAGGAAAGTAATGAGCTTGGCGGTCTAACCTGTTACTTAAAGATGACACTTGTGGGGCATTTCGTCACAGGAGGCGGGACTTAGCTGCAGATGAAAGGAGTGCAGTTTTCTTCGAACAGAAAAAGTTGGTATTTCAGGAACTGCAATTACCCTTGAGAAATTTTTGTCTAACAAGCAGCCTCGGGGTCATACATATCATTTTAGGTTGCACACCTGTTTCCTGCAGAATCAACACCTGTGAGGACTACCACCCAGGAACAGACTCTATGAAGACCAAGGAATCCTCCACACAGCTCAGAGAAAAAGTTGTGTAGAAGTAGGGATCAAAGTTTGGAAATCAAAACAGAAAACAAACAAACAAACAAACAAACAAAGCCTGCCAGGAGAGGATTAGTGCATCATTCACTACTACTACATTATTTATAAAGCACTTTAAAGGGATCTACGATTAGTTGTAACATTAGACGTTATTTGATAAACATTTATTTTAACTGTAAAACAAAGACTGTAAAAATACTGTAGGCTGTTTAGTTTTGTAATTTTTTGAAAATATATTTTAACACGGACGAAGCCATTTCATTTACACGCAAAGCATTCTGGGTAAACGATGTCATCAACTAGGTCATCGGTGCGAGGCTGCTAGCGAGCTATATCCACCCTGAAGGTTAATCTTAGACAATATCTGATGATCGTCTCTTTTAAATGAAACCAGAGAGCGTTGACAGAGAGGAGAAGGTAGAAATGACTCAGCCTGGAACTGAAAATATAGATGGAGGACAACAGAGCTGCTTCATGGAAGAAGAACCTCAGCTTAGCCTGTTAGCCTTTGCGCTAGCCCTCACGCTATATTGCCTTATATGTATTAGCTCGGTGCTAGCGCGACAAACAAGCTAAACTGAGGTCCTCCATCCATATTTTCAATTGCAGACTGAGTCGTTTTTGTGTTCCCCTCTCTGTCATGTGGATGGAGGACCTCAGTGATGAGAGGAGAATGTGTAGCGCTGAGCTAATACATATATATGGAGATAGCGTCGGGGCTAACACTAAAGCTAACAGGCTAAGCTGAGGTTCTTCTTCCATGAAGCAGCTCTGTTGTCCTCCATCTATATTTTCAGTTACAGACTGAGTCATTTCTACCTTCTCCTCTCTGTCAACGCTCTCTGGTTTCATTTAAAAGAGTCGATCATCAGATATTGTCCAAGATTAACCTTCAGGGTGGATATAGCTCGCTAGCAGCCTCGCACCGAGGACCTATGTCATCATTTACCCAGAATGCTTTGCATGTAAATAAAATGGCCCCATCCGTGTAATATATTTTTAAACTTTTAGTTTAAAAATTCTAAAAACTGAACAGCCTACAGTGTTTTTACAGTCTTTATTTTACAGTTAAAATATATGTTTATCATATAAAGTCTAATGTTACAACTAATAGGGGATCCCTTTAAAACTGCATCAAAGTGCTGTACATGTAAAATAAAAAAAAACAAAACAAACAAAACATAGAATAAAAACAATTAAAAACTCAAATTTTTAAACAGGCATTTGAGTCTGAAGTGTCAGGGTGAGACACAGGGAGAACCCAAAAGCAGGCAAACTCGAGGATATTGTAAAAATAAAACTATTTATTCGAAACAAAAACAAAAAGCTGACGAGGCAGTACAAGTACAGAGAGACAACGAGGAGACCGAAACAGCAGGAGAAACCAAACAATGAACCAGCGATGAGATGAAGAACTGAACCGGAATATATACTAACAGAGGAAATGAGAAATGAGMGACAGCTGGAGAGGAGACTGATTACAAACAAGGGACAGGTGAGCATAATTACAATGACCTAGAAAACAGACTGAGGAAGGATGAGTAATAAATACACAGAGAAAACACACGAGGGCGACATGAAAACAAAACAGACAAAACGCATTCTCAACATGAAGAGCACGATCATTAGGCCAGCCTCTGTTTTTTTCATTTTATTGTTTATTTTGTTATTGTATTTTTTTCATTGTTTGTATTTTATGTTCCTGTACAGCACTTTGGTTTTTTATTGTACTTTATAAATAAACGGTGATGACGATGATGATAAAAAAACAATAAAAAAGGAATAAAACAAATAAAAACAAGTCTCAGGCTGTGACAAAAGCCATGTAATTGAACATTTTTAAAGGGTTTTAAGGACCAACCTGACAAAGAGTGCGTTCATAAAAGAATCTGCTTCCAGGACCATTTTACAGGGTGTTTTTCAATCAAAGAGGTTCTAGAGTTAAAACCCAAGTCAAAGCTCCTTCAGTACCAACTCTTTCTGTTTCTATCACCCTGAGCTCAAACACAGAAACACCAGTCCTAATCCAGAACCTGCTCTTTTCTGCACCAAAACAAAGAAGTGATTCACACAGAAGCTGGAGACTAACAACTAAAATGTTGTTAGCGCCTTATTAGGCAGTTAGTTTCACTTTTACTTTGCTTAAGTAAGAATATTACAGTGATTTATTAGATTAAACTAATAGTGATATGAAGGCAACATGGAGAGTAATGAATAGTGTTTTGGAAACTAAAACAAAATCAAGCATTTCACAATACTTTGTTGAGGATGACAGTAAAATTCATGATCAGAATGAAACTGTAAATAGATTTAGTAATTATTTTGTGAATGTAATTCACAAAATAATTAATGGCCCAAGTCTAATAATAATGGCCAAAGTCTTACAGTTAAAATACCAAAAGTTGATAATAATGTAAGTCATACAGTAATGAGTTGTACCAACAGTGATTTTCCATCCATCCATCCATCCATCCATCCATCCATCCATCCATCCATCCATCCATCCATCCATCATGGATGGATGGATGGATGGATGGATGGATGGATGGAAATCATGAATATTGTAACAAATCTTGCAAACAAAAGCTCAAAAGACTGGTTGGATATGGATACGACATTTATAAAGGAAATAACGTTATGTTATTGAACCATTTACATCTGTAATCCATCATTTTCAACTGGAAAATTTCCCAACAACACAGCCAAAGTAATCCCTCTCTACAAGAGTGGTGAGAAACATCTTTACAAACTATAGACCAATATCATTGTTACCACAATTTTCAAAAATTTTGGAAAGGTTATTTGTCACCAAATTAGATCAGTTCATTGATAAACAAAATATTTTAAGTAAAAATCAATATGGTTTTAGAGCTAATAACTCAACATCAATGGCTCTCATGGACCTAACTGAACACATAACAACAGCTGTTGATAAAAAAACAATACTGTGTCAGTGTTTTTGTTGATCTAAAAAAAGCATTTGATACCACTAACCACAGTATTCTTCTTGGGAAATTAAACAAATATGGCATAAGAGGTCCAGTACTACAGTGGGTATCAAGTTATTTAACTAATAGGAAACCGTTTGTACAAATTAATGATGTAAGGTCTGAACTTTGTAATATTGTATGTGGGGTTCCACAAGGTTCTGTACTGGGACCAAAGTTGTTTCTTCTATATATTAATTACTGATAAAGCACTATTCATATTATATAATGCAATAATTGTTCCACATATGATTTATTGTATAGAAATCTGAGGAAATGCATGTAAAACAATTAGTAACCCTATTTTGATTTGACCAAAATGAGCCATAAGAATTATCACAAGAAAGCATTACTATCACCCATCTAATATATTGTTTCATCAATTAAAATTATTACAATTTTATGAGTTGGTTGAATATCATGTTCTGCAGGTTTTGTATAAAGCTAATAAAAATGTGTTACCTTCAAACATCCAATCTAATTTTGTTAAAAGGGAAAGCTGTTATAATTTGAAGGGACTACAAATGTGTGTTAAACAAAAAATCCGAACAAATCTGAAGGACAGATGCACTTCAGTGAAAGGTATAAGACTATGGAACAATCTGGAAAATGATTATACAAGCACTGGGTCAATTAATTCCTTCAAAATTAATCAAAGCAAAATTGTTAAACAAATATGAAATTTTTTAATTTGTACGAGTCACTGTTTGAGGAGTTGAATTTTTTTTGTTTTATTTGGTTTATTATTGTTTGAAATTGATATAATATTTTTTTGTAAATAGGAGCAGATATTATAAGATTTTTTTCTTCTTCTGCTGCCTTTCATTTTATTTTATTTGATTTGCATTGTTTTGTTATGTGTAATGTGTTTTGTTTTGTTTGTTTTTGTTTGTTTTTTTAATGAAATGAATAAACTATGTTGCAAGTTATTTTAAAGAAAATACTTCACCTTAACATTATTGCAAAATAAAGTTAGCACTGGAATAACATCACAGTTTGTGTGAGGTTTTTTTAGCAGGCATGTAAACAGCCTCTGCTTGGATATGCATCCTTCATAACCTCTTCAGGTTCTACAAAGAGCTTTATCTATTTCCTCCTTCCCACACACACTCATTCAATGCTCTCTGTTTTATAACCTACATACGGCCCTTTATTAGTCTCACTCATACGCTGATAAAAATGTCAAAGGTACAGTGTCTTGCCTGGAGACACTTTGGCTTGCTGCTGCTGGGGATCAAAAACCCAACCTTTCACCTAGACAACAGCCCCCATCTCAACTGAGCCAAGCTGCCACATCAGCAGAGGCAGCAGGTCTGAGCCCACACGACAATACTTTTACTTCTTTACTTCAAAATTTTACACCTTGTTGCACGCTACAAATGAAATATGACTGAACTCATCATGAAAGAAGTTGCTGAATTTACTTAACCAAATTGATTCAACTAAACTTAGTTGAGTAAATTATAAGGGTTTATTCACACCAGGAAAGTCCTTTGGTCCGCTTGTTTGGTCCGGACCAAAAGTAGACTTTATTTTTGTCATTTGGTGCGGTTTGCATTCACATTGTGCTTTTTTGCAAACAGACTAGAACTTGTAAACAAAGTCACGAGGTTGACGATCATTGATCACACTGGACAGAAAAGACGGGGGCGGGACTGAGCGCACAGACACAGAAAAAAACATG